ATAACTCCAATTTTAGTTGAATAACACAGGCAGTGACTTGATCCAGACGACATCTTGTAGATCTTGTGAAGTTTATTCCATAAACTGAGAGAATCTTACAACAATGAACATCGGATAGGTCAAAAGATCATAATGTGATCTACTTCATGACATGAGGCTTGCAGCTGAAGTGCATTACTGGGAAAATGAATAAAAGGGTGGGGCTATCTATACAGCATGAACTAAACCAAAGGAAGGGGAGGAGCAGAGACAAATTACAGAACACTTAAAGGCATATGACAGTCATGTGAACAGGGGCGGACTGACCATTTGGAAACTGGGGCACTGCCTGAGGGTCCAGGGTCAGTAGGGGGCCCCATGAGATGCCCCTGGTACCTTTTTCATAGGCTTTTTTGAGTTTAGGCAAGGACACAGGGGCCCCATGATCCCCTATTGCCGGGGGGCTCCATGAGTTGTCAGTCCACCCCTGCATGTGAAATATGACAGTGTGTGAAACCAGTATGGGATGCCCTTGTCTGGCTTTTTATGTAGATGTTGTAACGGTTTGCCAAACTCTGCCTGCCATGCCATCACGGGTTGGTCCTCCCGCCACCATTAGAAAGGAGTATGCAGCTGAGGTCCACACATGGGGTCCCAGGAGGCTGGACATAATGGCCAGGGGAAGGGGTATCTTATCCAGCATGGAGCATTCAGCGTTTTGCAGCAAAGGGAGGCACTGCAAATACTGAGAGGCATCATGGAGGCACAGAACAGGCTTTTCAGCCTCTATTGGGGGTCTTCTGAATACTCCTACTAGGGAAAGGCATTGACAGCTGCAGGACTGCCAAAAAGGGGGTACAGCCAGTCCTCCTGTATGGGGTCCGGGCCACATTAATTCATCAGGGGGGCTCTGGCAGTAGGGGAAATGGGATCATGGATAGGAGGGGGGGGGGGTGGTAGAGAGGCAATCGCAGGAACTGATTCCCTATGCGATTCTCCCTGCAGCAGCTAAAGCTCAGCTTCTCTTCCTCGTCCTCCTGCTGGCTTTCAACTTCTGTAGGAAGAGTCGCATAGGGGATTGAATCCTGTAATTGCCCCCCCCCCCCCCACACACACTCATACACACATGGGTCACCGTGTTCTATGCTGCCTGGGTCCTTCTGTGTGTCCCACCCTTCACAGCACTGCCAATTTCCCTTCTGGAGGCTGCTGCAGACATATGGGGATGTTTCAGGATGGAGAGTGGGGGGTCTGATAGCTATATCATATTCAAACTGCTAACTCTGACCTACAAAGCCATTCACAACACTGCCCCTGACTACCTCACCAACCTGATTCCCAAGTACCACCCTACCCGTACCCTTCGCTCCTCACAGGACCTCCTTCTGTCTTGCTCCCTGGTCTCCTCCTCCCACGCACGACTGCAAGACTTCTCCAGGTCCTCCCCCATCCTCTGGAACTCACTACCCCAATCCATCAGATTGTCGCCTTCCCTCCTCACCTTTAGGCGCTCCCTGAAAACCCAACTCTTCAGGGAAGCCTATACCACCCTTACCTAACAGCCGTCCTCCTTCATTCCTCCTACCACTCCATCCCCCACAGCCATTTCCTCCTGTACCACTACCCCCTCCCTCCTAGATTGTAAGCTCGAAAGAGTAGGGCCCTTTAACCCCTCGTGTGCTGTTTGTAGTTGCTGTACTGTTTCATGTATTGTCCCCCCCCCCCCTCTATTGTACAGCGCTGAGCAAACCCTTTGGCGCTATATAAACTCGATGTAATAATAATAATGACAAGGTGGTTCCTCGACTTCAACCGTGGGGTTTCAGCCTTCCATCTGAGCCAGGATATTGTTTTGCTCTAGGCCTCAGTCACTGGGAGACAGAACCCGTCACACTTTGAATGTGGGTTGGGCTGTCCAGATGTATTTGAAATTGACTACTGAGATTAGGCAGTCAGATTCACCTTTTGTCCATCCTGAAGGACCAAGGAAAGGTCAGGTGGCTACTGAGTCATCTATCTCCTATTGGATTCATCAGATTATTTCTCCAGCTCATGGCTTGAAAGGTAGGGCTCCATCGTTTCCAGTGACAGTTCATTTTATCAGAGCCGTAGGTGCTTTTTGGGCTCATCAGTCCTCAGTAGCTCAGGTCTGCCAGGCTACAGCCTTATCCCCACTTCTCACCTTTAGAAGATTTTATCGGGTGGATGTAAAGCTGCTGAGAAGACTGGTTTTTGGTTGTGGTGAATTGCAGGCTACTGTAAACCTCTCTTGACCTGTCGTGGTCACTGTCTCTCCCTCCCCTCATGGGCATTGCTTAACCATTTCAATACCGTGCAATTTTACCCCCTTCCTGCCCAGGCCAGTTTTCAGGTTTCAGCGCTCTCACACTTTGAATGAGAATTGCGCGGTCATACAACACTGTACCCAAACTAAAATTGTATCATTTTCTTCACACAACTAGAGCTTTCTTTTGGTGGTATTTAATCACCGCCGGGGTTTTTATTTTTTGCTAAATTAACAAAAAAAGACCAAAAATTTTGAAAAAAAAAACACATTTTTCTTTGTTTTTGTTATAAAAGTTTACAAATAAATAATTGTTCTTCATAAATTTAGGCCGAGATGTATTCTGCTACATGTCTTTGGTGACAATAACCCAAATTAGGATGTATTATTTAGTTTGTAGGAAAGTTATAGAGTTCACAAACTATGGTATAGATCTGAATATTGATCAATCCTGAAGTACTGACAGCCAATCTAATTTCTTGAGGTCCAAGAATGTCAGAACAGTACAGATATCCCCCAAATGTCAGGACGGTACAGATCCCCCCTTGTCAGGACAGTACAGATATCCCCCAAATGTCAGGACGGTACATCCCCCAAATGTCAGGACAGTACAGATATCCCCCAAATGTCAGAACAGTACAGATATCCCCAAATGACCCCGTTTTGCAGAGTAGACAGTCCGACGTACTTCATAAGAGGAATGGCGAGTTTTTTGAAGTTGTATTTTTTTGTCATAATTTTTCGGAAAATGAAAAAATGAAAAAAATTATTTTCACTATTTTTTTTTTTTACATACTGTCACCAGTGCAGTACAGCGTCGTCATATAACTGGCATGGCGGTGAACAGGGACGCTGACTGGTGACAGTATGAAAAAAAATATATATATATAATTTTTTTTAATTTTTTTTAATTTTTTTATTATATTTACTTTTTTATTACATTTTTTTTAACTTTTTTAAAGATTTTTTTTTCATATTTTACTATGACCAAAATAGTACAATGTTACCATAGTAACATTGTACTACTTTGGGGAAGTGATCAGTATTTTTTTTTTTTTTTTTACACTATTTGCTTATAGCAAAGAATTACTTTGCTATAAGCAAGCATTTACCTGAATGAAATCGATTCATTCAGCTTTTCTTTTTTTTTTTTTTCGTGCTTGCATGTGATTAGCTGTGACCATTCACAGCTAGGCACTAGTATACAATGGATGGCATCTTGAATGAAGCCATCCATTGTATACAACTGTCATGTGACCTGCTGTGATTGGTCACAGCAGGTCACATGGTACCAGCAACGGGAGCCGGTACTCAAGTCTGTCATCGGCCGTGTCCGAGGTGCACGGCCGCTGACAGATCGCACTGCTGCGCCGCTCTGCATTAGCGCAAACTGCGCATGTGCGGGAGCACGCCAAATGGCGTGCACCCGGAATGCAGATACACATCTGAAGCTGCCAAACGGACATTGGCCGGGCGGCTAATGGTTAAGGGCCATCCTTATGAGTAAAGGATAATATGGCCATTCTGTATCCCATGATGTACAATAAAGAAAATAATGTTTTTGTACTTACCTGTAAAACCCATTTCTTAGAAGACCTCACAGGACACAGAGATCCCTTCCCTCTATGTTGGGATGCATGGCTTGCTACAAAACGAATGGGGGGTCTTTTTTTGGCCAGTCACCAATGATCATCATCAATGAGTAAGATAAAGTAATGGTTCTTCTGTGACCCGTGACATACTCCAAGAAATGGATTTTACAGGTAAGTAGAAAAATCCAGTTGTGCTTGTTGTTGAGGAGAAGGGCCTCTTTCCTGAAAGGCAAGGTGATTGTGGGGGGTCTGCAGGTGGCAGGCTTATGGAAATCTGGAAACCCCTTTTAATATCAGGGTGCACCCAAATACCGACCACTCCTCTTGTTAATTAGGCTACCTAGCATATATAGATTGTTAAAAATGATCCAGTCCGGTGGCATAATTCTGAGCTCCTTTTTTATTTGTAGTTATAAAAGGTAAAGAATATCAAAACAGAGTGCATAAAAACACTTCACACTTCATTTCCCACAACCCCCCCCCCCAGCCCCATGAGAGGGGCTTAAAGAGGTATATTTAAAAAGAACCTGAGCCTACTCTGCTCTAGGTCAGCAGTCCATAATACACAGAGTGCCGGGGTCAGGAGTGTGCAATGTCCTAATAGTTTTCCCTTCAAAGCCATCTCTAAAGAAGAATGTAAATACCTCGCCCGCTGACCTCACCACTGAACGCTGCCTACCAGGGGTGGACTGACCATTTGGAAACTCGGGCACTGCCTGAGGGCCCAGGGTCAGTAGGGGGCCCCATGAGATACCCCTGTTACCTTTTTCATAGGCTTTTTTGAGTTTGGGCAAGGACACAGGGGCCCCATGATCCCCTATTGCCCGGGGGCCCCATGAGTTGTCAGTCAGCCCCTGCTGCCTACAGAGACTACAAGAGAGGCCGGAGCTGTACAGATAAAGATCAGATCATTGTTTAGGTGAGGCAATAGGAGAGAGAACTAATATAAACACCCCAATAATATGGACGGGGCTACAGATGTAAGAGTAGCAGTGATCACCATGAAGGAAAAACTGAAAGCAAAGATTCTGCCTATTAACCTCTTATATCTCCATCCTAATATTGTTCAACCAATACCTTCCAGATAATTCTATGCTATCCGTCTACAGAGAAACCCACATAGATCACATGACCACATCAATAAGGATGGAGGAGGACCGGAGTCACATGACTGAGAGGATACTAAACTTCACCCTGGAGATCATCTACCTGCTGACCGGAGAGGTGAGGAGGATTCTGGGAGGTCACATGACATCACTCTTATCTCTATTAATAAAACACAGACCTGACCGGAGAGGTGAGGAGGATTCTGGCAGGTCATATGACGTCACTCTTATTTCTATTAATAAAACACAGACCTGACCGGAGAGGTGAGGAGGATTCTGGGAGGTCACATGATATCACTTATCTCTATTAATAAAACACAGACCTGACCGGAGAGGTGAGGAGGATTCTGGGAGGTCACATGACATCACTCTTATCTCTATTAATAAAACACAGACCTGACCAGAGAGGTGAGGAGGATTCTGGGAGGTCACATGACATCACTCTTATCTCTATTAATAAAACACAGACCTGACCAGAGAGGTGAGGAGGATTCTGGGAGGTCACATGACATCACTCTTATCTCTATTAATAAAACACAGACCTGACCGGAGAGGTGAGGAGGATTCTGGGAGGTCACCTGACATCACTCTTATCTCTATTAATAAAACAGACCTGAGCGGAGAGGTGAGGAGGATTCTGGGATTCTAACATGGTATTCCTATTGGTTTTCCAATACAGAGATTTCCTCTTCTGAAGTCAGGTGATCATATGACCATCACAGTGCCTCCATGTGACTCCCTAAAACCTGAGAGACACAACATGCAGAAGATTCTAGAAGTCACCAAGAAGATGATGGAGCTGCTGACAGGAGAGGTGAGCGGTGCCGGGAATTCTGGGACATTCTCCAGTAACAGACAAGGGATGTGTCTGGATGGTGACTGTATCATTGTGTGTATTAGGATCTGTACATTATCTGCATTGTTACCATTGATGTCATTTATATTATATATTCAGAGTGGAAACCTGAGAGATTCTAAAGTTGATGTTAAAGAAGAGATAAAAGAGGAGGATGATAATAATGAGGTGATAGAGGTGTCAGAGTTTTGTAACCGATACAAAGAAAACATGGTGGACACCATGGTGGAGTCATCCAGCTACAGGAACCACCAGAGAGATGTCCCTGTCCTCTGTATTCCCGGGATTCCACACAGGAAGATCAAACCATCCCTCACCATCATCAGGTAGATGATTGGGAATCATTGATAGTTATGTTTTATACCTAAGCTTGTTTGTTACAATGAGTGTTTATTATATATTCAGAGTGGAAACCTCAGAGATTATGATATTATTCTTAAAGAAGAGTATACAGAAGAGGATGAGGAGTATGGAGTCATAGAGGAGCTTTCTGAAGGACATCAGGATCTCTACAAGGACATTATGTTGGAGTCAGCTAATACCAGGAACCCACCAGAGAGATGTCCCTGTCCTCTGTATTCCCGGGATTCCACACAGGAAGGTCACACCATCCCTCACCATCATCAGGTCGGTGGAGTTGAGGGTCTGGAACATAAAGTGATGGGACACTCTGACATGTGGAGACGATGTGTGGACTCTACAAGATGATATTTTCTATGTGATCTCACATCATAAATCCTTCTATATTACAGATGTTATTTCTGCCATTCTGTTGGTTTAGGGTGAAGATCTGATGAAGATGAAAGTTGAGGGTGAAGTAGAAGAGACGTATGTGAGGGATGATCAGCAATATATGGAGGAGGCTGGAATGATGAGGACATTCAAAGAGGAGGACACTCCTACAGAGATCAGCACAGGTGAGCCACAATATATTATTATCTCTGCTCTGTTACTGCACACTGATTGGTCCAGAGTAGGGCGGGAGATGAGTGATGTCATAGGTTGATAATAGTCACCCCCTTGTACTGATACCCGTCCTGCACATTAGATCTTCTTTCCTCTCAGATAAACCCCCTTCTCTGTGCTGCAGACACAAATTATGTATTCAGACATGATTTATATATAGTGATGAGCTGAACGTACCTGGGTTCGGTGTGAGGCGGGTTGGCCGAACTTGCTGAGTCCGAACCCCATTGGAGTCAATGGGAACTGAATTTTAGAAAAGAGTAATGGCCATTTTCAATGTTAATAGGCAAGGGACTATCAAACAAAAAGGGGGGGACTGGGCACTGCCCTTGGGGACATATACCAAACAAATTCATTATTTTTAAGTTCCGTTTTGCAGGGAGCAGAGGTTTTAATAATGTGAAATGTGAAAAATGCAAAATAATAAAAATTTGGGGTGTCCTTATAATGCCTGCGAATTGTCACATCTGTTCAAGAGAGTTTTTAAAAACAGACTTGAGATACATCTATTCACCCCGGCTTAGAGCAATATCTGACAAATCCGTCTCTTTAATGACCGCAACACTGGGGCTGTGTGTGGGTTGAGGCTTATCAGAACCTGGAAGCCCCCTTTAAAAATATGGGGCCCTCAGATCCCACACCACAATGTGAATGACTAAGCGGTACATAGTATCCCTACTGGCCTGTACCAAATACTGCTTTATGCATTGACATTTTGCCCTTAGACCCAGTCTGTTTGGACAATATGCTCACTATGCTGACTTGTCACCATCCACAGGCAGCTTAACTCTTCAATCGCATACAGAAGTTTAATTGAACGTAATATTACTTCAGACTTAACACTGAGGCTACTTTCACACAGATCCGCTGCAAAAATACAAAGAAGTTTTTACTGCGCTTTTGCTGTGCTTTCTAAGCGTTTTTTAAAGGACACGTGACTTAAAGTGGAGCTCCACCCAAAAGGGGAAGTTCCGCTTTAAGCCTTTGTCCCCCGCTCCCCATTAAGGATTGGCACCTTGGGGGAGCAGGTACCCAAATTTTACAGGTACCCACCTTCAGATGCGATCGCCTAGGCCAGGGGTAGGCAATCTGTGGCTCTCTAGCTGTTGTGGAACTACATTTCCCATGAGGCATTGCAAAGATTACAAAACTAACAGTTACAGCTATGACTTGCAGAGGCGTGATGGAACTTGTAGTCCTGGGGCTCTCAGGTTGCCTGCCCCTGGCCTAGGCGATCGGAAACAGAAGTTGTCCTCCCGCCCCTCTCTCCCCGTAGTCTTTTGGGGACACGTGACAGGTCCCAGAAGACTACGAGGCCATTCACAAAACACAACGATTCTCACGCATGTGCAGTGGGCACCCGGCTGTGAAGCCGCAAGCTGTCACAGCCGGGTGCCCAAACCGAAGATGCTGGCACCAGGGAGAGGACACGGCCGGTGAAAGACACCGTATTCTAATTTTTCGAGTTTCACCTGTCTCTGGGACTGAACTAGCTAGCACTAAACAGGAGAGGAGAACAGAGGGAGACCTCAAATTACATTAGTAAAACATGTTGTAATGGCCCTAAACCGCCACTAGATGTCAGCATGCATAAATCAATACTAACCTGATGCAGTTCAATACAACACATACAAATAGGTGGGACAGAACACCTACTTATTCACATTTTCATCCCTATTTATGTAGATATTGGGGTTCAGCTGGCAGGATAGAATTGAAACACAACCGTGTTTGCTGTAGCAGTTTCTTAGATTGGTCCCTTTTCTTTAAGCTGACTTATAGCTAAAGGTAACATAAAACTCTATTTACAGTCTTGTTGGGATGAAAAGTAAGGAGGAACATAGAAAACTGAAACACTTACTGTATATTTGCAACAGAAAATACTTCTCCAAACTCCCTCCAGTGCTGCTTATCACCAGACGCCTAGGCCTATGGTCTCTTGTTCTGTGCTGAAGCTTCTCCAAGTCTGAACTTTGAACCTCTTCATTATCAGAGATCACATGACCCAGTGCCTGGGCTTGTGGTTGTGTGAAGAGCATGCCCCTCCCAGTCCCCATTGGTTCCTGCTCTTCTGACAAGGCTGGGGAAATGTAGAAGTGATCTGGAAGGGGAGGACCAAAGAATGCCCATCGGGGCTCTACTCGTCAGTTCAGGTCGATCAAGGCAGTCAGGGACAGGGCTTCATTCGATCATGGCAGGCACCCGGAGCTCACGCTGCTCACGGCACCATGTTTAGGCCCCTCCCCATGAATGTCCTATGGTCACTTGTTCTGTGCTAAAGGTTCTCCAAGTCTGAACGTTGAACCTCTTCATTATCAGAGATCACATGACCCAGTGCCTAGGCTTGTGGTTGTGTGAAGAGCATGCCCCTCCCAGTCCCCATTGGTTCCTGCTCTTCTAACAAGGCTGGGGAAATGTAGAAGTGATCTGGGGGGAGGACCAAAGGACCTTTTACTGTAGAAGTGATCTGGGGGGAGGACCAAAGGACCTTTTACTATAGAAGTGATCTGGGGGGAGGACCAAAGGACCTTTTACTGAAGAGGGGAAGTCACAGCTGGTTGGGACATCCACAGAGAACATCTGCTCACTAAAACCTGCTTGATCCAGATGGAATCTTGATTTGGGTGAACTCATCTTCTCGTATCTATTGATCATGTTTTTATATTTTCCAGGACACGTCATGGAGGAACCCTTAAAGGATCGTCTCACTTTACCTCTAAGCTGTAAAATGGAAGATGAGGAGATCACAGGAGATTGTGCAGAAGAAAAGACAATGAGCTCAGCTATGGATGGTGGACTTCACAGTGTGGATGGACCATCAAATCTCTCTGACACCGAGAGCAACCTCGTACTGTGAGGGATGGTGCTGGAATTCAGGAGGAGGAGACATTTTCCTGTCCTGAATTTGGGGAAAGCTTTAGATCTGAATCAGGCCTTACTGTACATCAGCAATCTCACACGGGTGGGAAGCCTCATTCCTGTTCTGAGTGCGGGAAATGTTTTCTTCATAAATCAGAACTTGTCATACATTGCAGATCTCACACGAGGAAGAAGCCTTATTCCTGTCCCGAGTGCGGGAAATGTTTTTCACAATTGTCCCATCTTTACATACATCAGAGGTCTCACGCAAGGAAAGAGCTGTGTTCCTGTCCTGAGTGTGGGAAATGTTTTAGATTTAAGTCAGAACTATTTCTACATCAGAGATCTCACACAGGGGAGAAGCCTTATTCCTGCCCTGAGTGTGGGAAATGTTTTTCAGAAAAGTTTAATCTTGACAGACATGAGAGGGTTCACACAGGGGAAAAGCCTTATTTCTGTCCTGAGTGTGGGAAATGTTTTACTCGAAAATCAGGACTTGTTCTACATCAAAGATCTCACACGGGAGAGAAACCTTATTCCTGTACTGAGTGTGGGAAATGTTTTTCAGAGAAGGCCAGGCTTTACAGACATCAGAGGATTCACACAGGGGAAAAGCCATATTCCTGTCCTGACTGTGGAAAAACGTTTTCACAGGTGTCCCATCTATACAAACATCGGAGGTCTCACAAGGGGAAAAAGCTCTATTCTTGCCCTGAGTGCGGTAAATGTTTTTCAAAGAAATCAGTCCTTCTTGTACATCACAGATCTCACACTGGTGAGAAGCAGTGTTTCTGCCGTGAATGTGGGAAAAGTTTTTCTCAGAAGTCAGACCTTGTTATACATCAAAGATCTCACACGGGGGCGAAGCAGTATTCCTGCCTTGAGTGCGGGAAATGTTTTTCAAAGAAGTATAGCCTTTACAGACATCAGAGGATTCACACGGGCGAGAAACCATATTCTTGTCCCGAATGCAGGAAATGTTTTTCGCATAAGTCAGACCTTATTCGACATCAAAGATCTCACACAGGAGAGAAGCCGTATTCCTGTAATGAGTGCGGGAAATGTTTTTCACGGAAATCGGTCCTCCTTATGCATCAAACATCTCACGCAATTGGGAAGCCACATTGCTTCACTGAGTGAAGTATTTTTAAGTGGTGTCCCATCTTCACACATCAAAGGGTTTCACATGGGAGAGAAGCCATATTGCTGGTCCAAGTGCGGGAAATGTTTTTTTACAGAAATCAGACCTTGTTATACATGAAATATCTTTCTTGGGGAGAAGCCATATTCCTGTCCCAAGTGTAGAAATCAGACTTTGTTATACAGTACATCAAAGATCTCACAGGGGGGAAGCCATGTTTCTGCCCTGACTGTGGAAATGTTATACATGGAGTTCAGTCTTCGTCATACACTAAGATCTTACACGCAGTCGTTGAGAGGCCCTATTTCTGTATTGACTGTTAGAAATGTTTCTCCTGATACCCTCATAGCATCCTACAATGGTTTGCTCTGCTCAACTAATCCAGCAAGAATGGGGATAGGAGTACAAGCTCAGATCCTGGTGGTTGGGGACTCGATTATTAGGCCAGGCCAATTTTTAGCTTTTAGCGCTTTCACACTTTGACAATGTGTGTATGTATGTATATATATATATATATATATATATATATACAGTTGCAAGAAAAAGTATGTGAACCCCTTGGGATTACATGGAGTTTTGCATGAATTAGGCATAAAATGTGCTCTGAACGTCATCTAAGTCACAACAATAGAAGAACACAGTCTGCTGAACATAATACTACACAAACATTAGATGTTGCCATGGTTTAATTGCACATAACATGTAAACATTCACAGTGCAGGGAGGAAAAAGTATGTGAGGCACTAGCTTAATGACTTCTCCCAGAGCTAATTGGAGCCACGAGTAAGCCAACCTTGACTCCAATCAGTGTGATGATATTGGATGTGTTGCTGACAGCTGTCCTGCCCTTAAAAAACACACACCTGTTTTGGGTTTGCTGGTTTCAAGAAGCACTGTCTGATGTGAACCATGCCTCGCAGAAAAGAGCTCTCAGAAGACCTACGATCAAGAATTGTTGACTTGCATGAAGCTGGAAAGGGTTACAAAAGTATCTCCAAAAGCCTTGATGTTCATGTGTCCACGGTAAGACAGACTGTCTACAAATGGAGAAAGTTTAGCACTGTTGCTACTCTCCCTAGGCGTGGTCGTCCTGTAAAAATGACTGCAAGAGCACAGCGCAGAATGCTGCATGAGGTAAAGAAGAATCCCAGAGTGTCAGCTAAAGACCTACAGAAATCTCTGGCACATGCTAACATTTTTGTTGACACATCTACAATAAGGAAAATATTCAACAAGAATGGAGTACATGGAGGACACCACGGAGGAAGCCATTGCTGTCCAAAAAGAAATATTGCAGCACGTTTGAAGTTTGCAAAAGAGCACCTGGATGTTCCACAGCACTACTGGCAAAATATACTGTGGACAGATGAAACCAAGATTGAGTTGTTTGGGAAGAACACACAACACTATGTGTGGAGAAAAAAAAGGCACAGCACACCAACATCAAAACCTCATCCCCACTGTAAAACATGGCGGAGGGAGCATCATGGTTTGGGGCTGCTTTGCTGCCTCAGGGCCTGGACGGATTGTTGTCATTGATGGGAAAATGAATTCCAGAGTTTATCAGGACATTCTGCAGGAAAACATACGACCATCTGTCCGCCAACTGAAGCTCCTCAGAGGATGGGTGATGCAACAGGACAATGGCCCAAAGCATACAAGTAATTCAACAAAACAATGGCTGCAACAGCACAGAATACGCCTTCTGGAGTGGCCCAGTCAGAGTCCTGACCTCAACCCGATTGAAATGCTGTGGCATGACCTTAAGAGAGCAATTCACACCAGACATCCCAAGAATATTGCTACACTGAAACAGTTTTGTGAAGAGGAGTGGTCCAAAAATGACTCCAGATCGTTGTGCAGGTCTGATCTGCAACTACAGGAAACGTTTGGTTGAGGTTATTGCTGCCAAAGGAGGGTCAACCAGTTATTAAGTCCAAAGGTTCACATACTTTTTCCTCCCTGCACTGTGAATGTTTACATGTTATGTGCAATTAAACCATGGCAACATCTAATGTTTGTGTAGTATTATGTTCAGCAGACTGTGTTCTTCTATTGTTGTGACTTAGATGACGTTCAGAGCACATTTTATGCCCAATTCATGCAAAACCACGTAATCCCAAGGGGTTCACATACTTTTTTTTGCAACTGTGTGTGTGTATATATATATATTATTTATATATATATATATATTGCTCACCAGCCACTTTATTAGGTCCACTTGTTCAATTGCTTGATAACACAAATTGCAAATCAGCCAATCACATGGCAGCAACTCAATGCATGTAGACATCTATAGGCAGTAAAGACGACTTGCTGAAGTTCAAACCGAGCATCAGAATGGGGAAGAAAGGGGATTTAGGTAGCTGTGAACATGTCATGGTTTTGGTGCCAGACGGGCTGGTCTGAGTATTTCAAAAACTGCTGATCTGCTGGGATTTTCACGCACAACCATCTATAGCAGTGGTTCTCAACCTTTCTAATGCCCGCGACCCCTTAATACAGTTCCTCATGTTGTGGTGACCCCAACCATAAAATTATTTTCGTTGCTACTTCATAACTGTAATTTTGCAGTGGGAGGAGTAGTGCCACATCATTGGTGTCAGTGGAAGGAGTAGTGCCCCATCATTGATGTCAGTGGGATGAATAGTGCCCCATCATTGGTATCAGTGGGAGGAATAGTGCCCCATCACTGGTGTCAGTGGGAGGAATAGTGCCCCATCACTGGTGTCAGTGGGAGGAATAGTGCCCCATCACTGGTGTCAGTGGGAGGAATAGTGCCCCATCGTTGGTATCAGTGGGAGGAATAGTGCCCCATCGTTGGTATCAGTGGGAGGAATAGTGCCCATCGTTGGTGTCAGTGGGAGGAATAGTGCCCCATCGTTGGTGTCAGTGGGAGGAATAGTGCCCCATCGTTGGTATCAGTGGGAGGAATAGTGCCCCATCATTGGTGTCAGTGGGAGGAATAGTGCCCCATCATTGGTGTCAGTGGGAGGAATAGTGCCCCATCATTGGTGTCAGTGGGAGGAATAGTGCCCCATCATTGGTGTCAGTGGGAGGAATAGTGCCCCATCATTGGTGTCAGTGGGAGGAATAGTGCCCCATCATTGGTGTCAGTGGGAGGAATAGTGCCCATCATGGTGTCGGTGGGAGGAATAGTGCCCCATCATTGCTGTCGGTGGGGGGAGTAGTGCCCATCATTTGTGTCGGTGGGGGGAGTAGTGCCCCATCACTGGTGTCGGTGGGGGGAGTAGTGCCCCATCACTGGTGTCGGTGGGGGGAGTAGTGCCCCATCACTGGTGTCGGTGGGAGGAGTAGTGCCCCATCGTTGGTGTCGGTGGGAGGAGTAGTGCCCCATCGTTGGTGTCGGTGGGAGGAGTAGTGCCCCATCGTTGGTGTCGGTGGGAGGAGTAGTGCCCCATCGTTGGTGTCGGTGGGAGGAGTAGTGCCCCATCGTTGGTGTGGTGGAGGAGTAGTGCCCCATCGTTGGTGTCGGTGGGAGGAGTGTGCCCCATCGTTGGTGTCGGTGGGGAGAATAGTGCCCCATCGTTTGTATCAGTGGGAGGAATAGTGTCCCATCATTGGTGTCAGTGGGAGGAATAGTGCCCCATCATTGGTGTCAGTGGGAGGAATAGTGCCCCATCATTGGTGTCAGTGGGAGGAATAGTGCCCCATCATTGGTGTCAGTGGGAGGAATAGTGCCCCATCATTGCTGTCGGTGGGAGGAGTAGTGCCCCATCATTGGTGTCGGTGGGGGAGTAGTGCCCCATCATTGGTGTCGGTGGGGGGAGTAGTGCCCCATCACTGGTGTCGGTGGGGGGGAGTAGTGCCCCATCACTGGTGTCGGTGGGGAGGAGTAGTGCCCCATCACTGGTGTCGGTGGGAGGAGTAGTGCCCCATCATTGGTGTCGGTGGGAGGGAGTAGTGCCCCCCCATCATTGGTGTCAGTGGGGGGAGTAGTGCCCCATCATTGGTGTCAGTGGGGGGAGTAGTGCCCCATCATTGGTGTCAGTGGGAGGAATAGTGCTCCATCACTGGTGTCAGTGGGGGGAGTAGTGCCCCATCACTGGTGTCAGTGGGGGGAGTAGTGCCCCATCACTGGTGTCAGTGGGAGTAGTGCCCCATCACTGGTGTCAGTGGGAGGAATAGTGCCCCATCATTGGTGTCAGTGGGAGGAATAGTGCCCCATCATTGGTGTCAGTGGGAGGAATAGTGTCCCATCATTGGTGTCAGTGGGAGGAATAGTGCCCCATCATTGATGTCAGTGTGGTGGAGGGGAGAATAGTGCCCCATAATTGGGGTCAGGGGGGGGGAAATAGTGTCCCATCGTTGGTGTCAGTGAGGGGGGGGGGAAATAGTGTCCCATCGTTGGTGTCAGTGGGGGGAGGAATAGTGCCCCATCGTTGGTGTCAGTGGGAGGAGGAATAGTGCCCCATCGTTGGTGTCAGTTGGGGAGGAATAGTGCCCCATCGTTGGTGTCAGTGGGGGGAGGAATAGTGCCCCATCGTTGGTGTCAGTGGGGGGAGGAATAGTGCCCCATCGTTGGTATTAGTGACAGCCTGGGCTCGCTCTCTCTCACTTACCTGTCAGCTGTCTTCCTTCTCTGGCCGCTCTCCTCTTCACTCGCTCCGGCAGCTCCCTCGATCTTCTTTGATGTACGCACGCTGCCGCTCAGCTCCTCCTCTCCAAGCTCCACCTCCTCGCCGGTGATTGGCCGCCTGTGTGCCTCTCCTGAGCTACAGTTCCGGTGGCCAATCAGCGGCGAGGAGGCGGAGCTGCTGAGCAATCCCGGAGGTGTGGCCAGGTGACAGGAGCAGCGTATCATCCCGCCCACACATCGCCGGAGAGAGGAGCGGTGTCTCGGTTCCTAAGACCATCGGAAATATGTGTTTTCCGATGGTCTTAGGCGACCCCTGGGAAATGGTCGTTCGACCCCCAAAGGGGTCGCGACCCCCAGGTTGAGAACCGCTGATCTATAGGGTTTACAGAGAACGGTCCGAAAAAGGGAAAATATCCAGAGAGTGGCAATTGTGTGGAGGAAAATGCCTTGTTGATGTCAGAGAAAAATGGGCAGACTGGTTGCTGCGACATTCAGATGGTAGGGACAAAATCTGGCATAAACAACTTGAAAGCATGGATCCATCCTCCCTTGTATCAATGGTTCAGGCTGGGGGTGGTGTCATGGTGTGAGGGATGTTTTCCTGGCACTTGCAAGGTGTGCCTAATAAA